AGTACAGGTTGGATGTATACTTAGATTTTTTTCTGACATGTATGGAAAATAAACATAACCATTAAAATAAAACATGCAGGGCCTGGGATTTAGCTCAGTGGTTCTGTCACCTTCCTCACAGTGCAAGGATCCAAGTTCAGTCCCTGGTTCCAAAAATAAAAATAAAAAGTAAATGAAAATAGACAAATTTACATTCTACCTAAAATTGCTTTTGGGAACCACTGATACAGTGGAATAAACATGAACTTTATATCTAAGTAGATCTGGGGTTAACTAGTGGCTCTGTCACCTAATTATATCATCTTAGATAAGTCACTTGTGACCTCAGTTCTCAGTTTCCTCATTTGTTTTTGGACAGGATCTTGCAGTGTAGTCCAACCTGGCCCTGGACTCGTTCTATAGCCCAGGCTGGTCTCGAACTCATCATCCTCTTGCCTCAGCCTTGTGTTGGGATTTTGGGCCTGCGTCATGACACTGGCTTTCCCTGATTTGTAAAATGAGGATAGGAATAGCCACCTTTCAGAGTTGTGAGGAATAAATGCGGTCCTGTGAGTGCCCAGCTACCAGACAGGTTTTCAGTACATGCTGGTTATTATTGTGGTTATTACTGTGGATGTCTAGTTGTTTTCCAAAGACTGTATCTATACTGGTGGCTTTCTGCTGACGGATGTACATATTTCCATATGTATATGTGAAAGTTACTTACACTTGTTAGCATTTCTGGTACATCTATATTATTTTGATTTTCTAGTTCTACCACACCTTTGCTTTGTGAGTTTTGGACAATTTGCTTAACTTCTATATTCCTTAATTTACCTACCAGTAGTTTTTAAAATATGGCTGCTAGTATATGAATATGTTTTTGCTTGTTTGTTTGGTGCTGAGGGTCAAACTTGCGACCTTGCACTTGTGAGGCAGGTGGTAGCACCCCTGAGCTAAAGCCCTGGTCCTGTATGTTATTTTCTAGCTCTGTCCACTAGGGGGCCTAGAAGTGACGGCACCTACGGTCCTAGCAAAGGGCGCATTTAGTATTTGTGGGGAGGGGATTTATCTCAGTGGTTCCGCTGCCTACCTTGTAAGTGTGAGGTCCCGAGTTAAATCATCAGTACCAACCAAAACAAAAACATTTAGCACCTATGGTTTGTAAATAGCTTTCTCTACCAAAGGAACTAGGGCTCCCTGGAGAGATGACTCGTTCCAGGGCTGGGACAGTGAAGTGTAACATGAGCCTGGAACATCTTTTAGTGTCAGAAAATAAGGAACTTCTCGAAAAACGATGAGGATATTAAAAGGTCATAGAAGCCACCTCGAAGGAGCTCCCAAGGGCCAATTTAGAGACAATATGAACAACACAATAAATAATGATATAATGGATTATACCTCATAAGTCCATATTGATATAGATAGTTGAATAAATAATGAAAGGAGGAAGAATAACTCTTTTTATAGTAAAATTCCACTTAATAAATGTAGAAAGGTCAGGGATGCAGCTCAGTGGCACCGCGCCTGCCTGGCAAGCACAAGGTCCTGAGTTCAGTCCCTGGTACAGAAAAAAAAAAAAATGTAGAAAGAATGATGGAAATGGAAAAATCATTATTTGGCTAATGCCACAGTAACAACTGTTGTTAGCAAGAGTTATGAATAAATCCCAAAACTTAATGGTTAGCTGGGTGCGGTGGCACATGCCTGTAATCACAGCCCTGAAGCAGGAGGATGGCCGTGAGTTCAAGGCCAGCCTGGGCTACATAGTGAGTTCAAGACCTACCTCAAAAACAAAACAACACCTTAGTGGGTAAAAGTATAAGAAGCAGGATATTTTAATAATATTAAGGTACCTCTCCTTGGCTGGGTGTGATAGCACATAATCCCAGCACCTGGGAGGCTGAGGCAGGAGGCGTGCAGTAAGTGGAAGCCAGCCTGGGCTATGTAATGAGTAGAAGGCCGGAGAGGCCCTGTCTCAAAAAACAAAATACAGCCGGGGATTTAGCTCAGTGGCACAGCACCTGCCTTGCAAGTGCAAGGTTCTCAGTTTGATCCCTGGTACAAAAAACAACAAAAATAACTACTACCGCCACCCAAAAACTAAAGCAACCCCCCCAAAACAAAACAAAACAAAACACCACCACAACAACCCTCCCAACTGCCCAACAAACAAACAAACAAACCAGGTATCTCTCCACAAGGTATAAGGAGAAAAATACAGTTGCAACTTAACAGACACCACCTTAACCATTTACCATCACCAGTAACAAGCTAGCAATATCCTAGGCCTCCTGTACCGAGCGTGTATCTGTCCCTTTGTGGTATTCTTGCCCCAGATCCATAGCCTGAACTTAATAAGGAGAAAATATTGGATAAATTCAAATTGAGGACACACTACAAAGTATTTTGAAGGGTTTTTTTTTTTCAGTCAAGGTCTTGGAAGATAAGGAAAGACCGAGAAACCACCCTAGAGTGGAGGAGAGTAAGGGCACATGGAAGTTTTATTTAGTGTGGGATTCTGGATTGCACTCTGGAGTAGAAAAAGAACATCAGGGGCCGGCGACTTAGCTCAGTGGCTCCGCGACTGCCTTGCAAGCACAAAGTCCTGAGTTCGATCCCCGATACCGGGGGTGGGGGGAAGGAAGAAAGGAAAAGGACTTTATTTGGGTTATTAACAAAATTTGAATGTTTGTGAATTAATTATCCTTAGTGTGCCAGTTTCCTGGTTTTGATAATCTTGTTATGATTATGTAAGGTTATTTGAAATAATCCAGAGGAACAATATACTGGAACTCTATTTTTGTAAACTTTTTGAAAGCATGAAAAGTAAAAAATTAAAAATATAAAAGTACGTTAGATTTGTGAGGACAAAATGAGATGATGGCCGTATGTGTGGAACGCTGAGAAAAATGCCTGAAGCATGAGTTCTTAACACATGTCTGCTTATTAATAGTAATTTTATGATTAAGTGATGATATAAGTAGTGAATTATCTATTGTTGTGATTTATCTCCTAATATTCTCATATATTCTTACCTGTTTATTTTTTTACCCTTTCCCTTGTGAAAAGAATACTGTGGTGAGCACAGATGTGGTTATTTCTAGAGATATAAAGTAAGATCAGATTTTATTTTGAGGATTGTTTTAGAGAGTGGGGGGCGGGCTCATTTCCTCTGGTCGCTCATTGGTTCAAATTTAGGCTGGCAATCAGAAGAAACTGCTTGCTGGGAAGCCGTGCTTAATTTCCACGGCTGCCCATTCCAGGGCGTTTGTGATAGCGCCACCTGGCGACAGGGCTGCTCTTCCCCAGTTCATCGTCCTTGTGCTTTAAGAGCTGCTTTACAAATAAGACTCTGCTCATTTATTGAACACCTTCTAAATACACGTTATAGATTCACTTAATCTTCACAAGTCTGTGTGATAATTGGCATTTTACTGATTTTTAAGATGATAAAACTGAGGTTCACAAAAGTTAAGCGGCAGAGCCAAGGTTTGGATTCAGATCCCCTAACCCTAAGGCTGAGTCTCCGTATGGCCCTAAATTTCAGAACTGTTGGCATAGAGGAGTGATTCGCGGATAGGGCTCTGTTCCTTGCTCCCATTTGGCAATGTCTGGAGATATTTTTAGCTTTCTGAAGGGGTAGGGTGCGTGTGGGAGCTTTCTTAAGGGGCACCCAATGGGTGGACGTTATCTAGTTGCTGCTAAACATCTTACCATACACAGAACAGCCCCTACGACAAAGAATTGTTCAGCTCCAAATGTCAACAGAGCGGCTATCGGATCCTAGTGTTGAATCTTAAAAGGGCAAAAGTTGGAACTTAGAAACGTGAGGACTTAGCTAATATTTACCGAGTAGTGTGCTGGATGGTGTGAGGGCTGTAGAAACAATACACCGGCTTTTGTGCCACCGAAGGGGGTCACACTCTGCAAAGGCAGGGATCAGGGCAGGAGAGGCACGCACACACTTCCGGTCCGAGACAAAAACGTAACAAATGCAATAGGGCCGAGTGTGCTCTGAGAAGGGAGACTCATGTCTGGCTGTGGCAGGGACCAAGGGAGGCGGTGGGGAGGAGTTGGGTTTTGAGTTGAATGTGTGAGCAAAGCTTAGCTGGTGGGAGGACACAGAACCCGCCCAGGACTACACCCTCCTTTGTGGGGTGCATGGAGTGTTGGTTAGTGAGTTGGTAAAGCAGGTCCAGGCCGGAGCACTGAGCCAGCTGAGGGCTGAAGCCCGGGTGTCTGTCATAGTCTTGGAAAAGCTTTCCCTTCCTGAGTGGTGGCCTGGGACCTAGGGATGTGGGACTCAGCAGCTCCTGGGGAGGGCTCTGAAAAGGAGGGGAACTTTGAAATTAGGATGGCGTAGGGTGGAACTTCTCCTAATTTTAGGACCAAGCTGATGCTTTGTATGCAACAAGCTATTTCACCTTAAAAGTAGATCTTGGGGAGATGGTGCTCTCAAATCAACTATAAGTGAGAATAATCTCTCTCCTGTGGATTATTTTGGGAAGATCTGGGCCACTCTGGCTGTGGTGAAAACTGGAGCGCAGGCGGAACCACTAACCAAGGCTGAGGCGTCCGTAGCGGTATGGTCTGGTGACAGGATTTTTCCCACCTATTATAGCACTAGAAGCTGCTGGTGGCATGTGTAGTATCCTGGACAGCAGGAGGCCCTGGGGAAGTTCATTACTGTTCTGGAAAGGGCATTGGAGAAAAAGTAAGGTCAGCACGTCCTGGTCGATCTAGGGTGCGTTGTGCACCTGTGCGTGAGGTAAATATTTTGCCAGCTATAGTTGCAGACCCCTTCATGTACAACACCCTTTTAACTCTCTCAACACCCTTCACTAAGGTACTGTTGCCTCCTTTTTCTAAATGAGGAAACTGGTGCTGAGAAAGGTATCTTGACCCATATCTTTGTAGCTCCTCTTTAAAGCATGTGTGGCTTGTTTTGCCACCTTTTTTTTTTAAACCTCTTCCCCCTCTTCACAGAAAAATTAATCTTAAAAAAAATTTTTTTTTACCTGTATTTGGGCTGCTAGAGACCATGGACATCAGAATCAGTGGCAGCAACAGGAAGAGAAAGGAGATTGTCACCTTCATGGTGGCTGTCAGTGCTGCTGAAAGTTGCTTGCAGAATGTCTGAATCCCAGGCAGTGGCTCCTGGTTCCTGGGAACGGCTCAGATGCGGTAGTTGGCGTAGTGGTCTGGGCTTTAATACTGCCCCAGTGTTCTCAAGAAAGGGTAAGAACAGGTGAGATGACGCTGTCTGGGTTGTTAGGTAACAGATTGGGCCAGGTGCTTTACAGGAATCTGGGAGGTGAGACTGGTCAAACAAAAGAAACGCAGCATTCTTAAGAACTTAGGAAACGACTGATCTGATCGCTTGACAGCTGTACTTGTCCCCTCCCGCCCTCCTTCTTGCCTCCCACCCCATGATGTGCTATGATTTCTCCCTCAAGAGCTTTTTCTAGTTTGAAATTTCCTTATAAAATTTAGTGACAGTTTCTAGCAAGAAAGTGGCCACGAAGGGTTAGCAGAAGAGAGAGGGACGTGTGTGTTTCCCCTCTGTCATCTCCACTTCTACCCTTGGCAAGGGATAGCAATAGTAATGCTACTGCTTGGACAGGGGCCCCGTCTTTACCTTGTTGCACCAACTCTGTAGCCCTGTAAAGTTGCAGAAGGGCAGGATGAGGAAAGGGCGATGTTGCTCCTGGTCCACTGGTAAAAGCAAACCTCCTCGTGGTTCATTGGGAAGATGGTGATGGCTGTAAAGTGTGTTTGCCCAGGCAGCTGTGGCTTCTGGCACCAAACCTTGGTTGGGAAGATCTCCAGGAAAAAGAAGAGAAGTAAGAATACTTTAGTAGGCCGGGTGTGGTGGCGCACACCTGTAATCCCAGTACTCAGGAGGCTGAGGCAGGAGGATCACTGTGAGTTCGAGACCAGCCTGGGCTACATAGTGAGTTCCAGGTCAGTGTCACCTACGTAGTGAGACCCTTTCTCAGAAAACAAAACAAAACAAACTTTAGTAAACACTAAGGGTTATAGTGTTAGTCAGCTTCCCATCATGCAGCAAAACACCTGAGATTGTCAGTTCATAAGAGGAAAGGTTTATTTTGGCTGTTGGTTTTGGTCCATGATCATGGTGGGTGACAAAACAAAACAAAACACCTGAGAATGTCAGTTCATAAGAGGAAAGGTTTATTTTGGCTGTTGGTTTTGGTCCATGATCATGGTGGGTGCACATGGCAGGGGGAACTGTTTGCCTCATGGGAGCCAGGAAGCAGAGACAGGAAGGGGCCAGGGTCTCAATATCCTCTTTAAGGACACGTCTCTGAGGCCCTAACTTTCTTTTAGTGGGCTTCATCTCCTGAAGGTTTCATCACTTCCCAGTTACACCACAGGCTAGAGACTGAGCTTTGGTGGCATTCAAGATCCAAATAACGGTCATAGAAGATGAGCAGCACTTATAAACGTGGGCTCTATCCCAGAGACTTGAGGGATGTGTCAGAGAAAGAGGAGAGGCTGAGTTTGATACTGTGAGGGCTGAAGGGAGAGTTAACAAGGAGCCCTTCTGGAGGCCTTCGGGCAGTCGTGAGAAAAGGTGATATGATTTTGTTTCCCCAGTAGTAGGGAAAAGACAAGGCACTGATCAAACCCTTTTTAATTTTTGTTAGGTTATTCCTACCCTCTCAGTTTTCAAGACAACCTGGCCTATTGCCACATTGGAGAATTGAGCTAAGAGATGAAAGCTATTCTCAAGTTTAAGTCTTGGGCTTGGTCTGGGTTTGGTTTGTTTTTTTGGTTTTTTTGAGACAGGGTCTCATTATGTAGTTGAGACTGACCTGGAACTCACTATATAGGTCAGGTTGGTCTCGAACTCACAGAGATCCTCCTGCCTCAGCCTCCCGAGTGCTGGGATTACAGGCGTGAGCCACCATGCCCGGCTGGTCTGGGTTTGGTTTGACATGAACCACTGATATGCCTTCTTTCTGGAAAATTCTTAAAATTGTCTCTATTTTCAGGATGCTTAAACCTAACCAGGGAGATGCCATTCACTTTATAAATCCAATAGATAAGAGTGGAACCAACATTCAGAGAGAGCAGAAGTTCGCTGAGGACTGGGAGGGACTGTGGGTTGGGTGGAACCTGAGCTCAGTCTCACAGGTGGGGTAGACTTCGGATTGGTGGGGTCAGAGAAGAGGGGAGAACAGAGCAGCGTGTTTTAAGCTGGGGCTAATTGGTTATTTGAGGGCAGGGTGGATACGTGGTTATGTCTTCGCAGGGAGCTCAGCGGGGTTGCTTTCCTTTCCTCATCAAGTTGTCAGTCCACGCTGAGAACTTCCTCTGGGTCCGCCTGGTCTGTCTACCACTGCTCCCCTGGCGGACTGGCAGGAAGTTTTTTTTGGTTTTTTTTTCCACTCTGGTTTTCCCCTCTACGGGCTTGGGTGGGGTCACATCACCGGATACAGATTTGGGTCTCTCAGGTTTGTTGACATACAACACCCTTAAGACAAACGGACTTTCCTTTGGTTAATATTAACAGCTTCTCCTAGCCCATGTCGGAAACATGATTGGTGTCAAAGAGTTTCCCTGACTTGCAAAAGCCCTCCCCCAGAGAGCGGTAAAGGGCAAGTAAGGGGAAGGCACCACTCCACTGTGGCTATTATGTGCTCTCCCCATTCTAGTGTACTTGGCAGACAGCCAAGAACATTTGCCAGTCACCTCTGTGCCTCGTGCTGCTCTAATAATAGTCGCGTGTTCGTGCATGAATTCGCTGAACACTGGATCGCTCAGTGTGTGCCTGGTGGTGGACGCCGGAGAATAAGACTCGCTGCTGTCTCTGAGGAGTTCTCACACTTGTCCCCCTTTGCAGGAATGGAAGTTAAAGTGCAGGGAGGTCCTGTGATTAGGTCAGCGTCGTCAGTCGGTGAGCCCCAAAGCCACAAGAGTGAAACACAAGTTTCTTGCTAGATTTTCTTTTCTCTTTTGCTTCCGGTACCAGGGATCAAACTCAGGACCTTGCCAGACAGGCACCATGCTGCTGAGCTACATCCCCGGCCCTCTTACTAGATTTTCTGTTATTGTGAAGCTCTCTGGCTGCTGTACATGCAATGTGCCGAGGCCCTGTAGGACAGAGAGCACTTTCAAAACGAAGTGGACGAGCTCACAGCCACCCCCACCCACCAGAAGGAAATGCCCTGTCCAACCATGTTGGTGGAGAGCACCATCTGGGACATTTACATTCTCCTATGTCATTTTGAGCTCGATATGAGGAAAACTGAGCCCAAGGAACCAAGAGTGAACGTTTTTTCCCAGGCTGTTGATGAGAGAGGTCCCCAAACGTTAGTGTCAGAGCTTTGAGGATCCTCCAAACCTTGTGTGTGTGTGTGTGTGTGTGTTCTATTCATCTGTGTTGCTCTAGTGTACAGTTCATAACATATTAAAGATTCCTAGCTGGGCGTGGTGGCACACGCCTGTGATCCCAGCACTCGGGAGGCTGAGGCAGGAGGATCGCTGTGAGTTGAGACCAGCCTGGGCTACATTAGTGAGTTCCAGGTCAGTCTCAACTATATAGTGAGACCCTGTCTCAGAAAACAAACAAAAAAGATTCCTTCTTCCTTTCTTCCTTTGTTTTTTAAAGTCAGGGTCTTCCTATGTAGCCTAGGCTGGCCTAGAGTTCACGATCCCTCTTCCTCCATCTCTCTAGTGCTGGGATTCCAAGTGTGTACCACTGTGCCTGGCTCCGATGAGTGTTTCTTAGAAACTAAAATGGGATTTAAAAGATACACTCACACAGACAGGGGATGACTGGGCAGCAGCGCAGATAGGCAAATGCAGTATCCGCCGCGGTGGTATTCGGCTTTCTAGATGTGGGTGTGGTGCCAGCTTGGGGAGATGGGTAGTCCTGTGTGGTGCCGCGGTGGGGACACCCCTAAAATTCCGAACGTCCCAGGTGACCGCTGTGTTTCACACGCGGGAGAGTGACAGGAGAGCACGGGCTTCAGATCCTATCATTTGGAAGATGCCCGAGGGAAGACAGCCATGGAGGGTCCTGGCGCAGGTGGCGGATGCAAGTATTTGATGAGTTGTTGTATAAAGAGCTGTTATTTGGGGGCCGGGGATTTAGCTCAGTGGTTCCGCCACCTGCTTTGCGAGCATAAGGATCCGAGTTCGGTTCCAGGTACCAAAAATAAAAATAAATAAAAAAGGTATTATTTTGGCGCCCACAGAGAGTAGGGTTCATGGGTGGGGGGTGTCAGACACAGCGTGGCTCAGGGTGCCAAAGAACTGTGGCAGTAAAGTAAGTTTCCTCGGAAAACTGCACGTTTACTGCTAGAGTTCAGTTAGGGGTTGTCTGCAAGTAGTGATCGCCGCGGTGATTTCTACAGTTCCAAAGGCAGAGCTGGGCATGGATCTCAGGTTTTCCTGATGATACATTTAGGATCGGGTAGTACATAAAGCCCTTTGAAACACTGAACAATAAAATACCACGATATTTGTGCAAAAATAAAGTTGATTTTTAACAACAGAGAAAGCCCTTTGAGACGTGACATTGTGCTATGATGCTTGCCCGACTCTCGTTTTGCACTTTGAGCTTCTCTTGTCCCAGCGTGAGGCTTGGACTTTAAACTCCCGCTCATTTACCGAGAACCGCACAGGTTAAGTGCATTTGCTGGTCATGGTCACAAGGTGGCAGCACATCCTCACTGGTGTTTCCCAAGAATTCACGTGGGCAAGTCTGGGGCAGGCTATGGGCACAAATGAGGCGAATTGTCTTTTTTTTTTTTCCTTCTTTCTTTTTCTTTTTCTTCTCTGGAGCGACGGAGTTGAAGTGACTGTGAAATAACTGCATTTTAGAACTGGAAGGCACTTTGGAAAAGTGCTTTCAACTTCCCTGTACTTTCACACCTCCCAAGGATCTTGTTTAAGTACAGATTGTAATTCCTCGGATGGAGCCTAAGATTCTGCCCTCCCTCCCTCCCTCCCTTCCTAGAGATGAAGTCCTACTATGTTGTTCAGGCTGCCCCTCAACTCCTGGGCTCCATTAATCTTCCTGACACAAGCCAGGCGGGGTGGTGCATGCCTATAATCCCAGCACTCAGGAGGCTGAGGCAGGAGGATCGCTGTGAGTTCCAGACCATCCTAGGCTACATAGTGAGTTCCAGGTCAGTCTCAACTACATAGTGAGACCCTGTCTCAAAAAACCAAAAAACCAAATCAAAAAAACACAATCTTCCTGACACAGACTCTCAAGTAACTGGGACTACAGACACCTCTGTGACCCCTGGCTGAGAGTCTGTACCACTGCCTGTTGGTGGACCGCACTGTTGACTAGGCAAGTTTCAGAGGTCACGTAGAGGCTGCTCCTCACTGCACCTGATTTATGGGTGGAGAAAGAACCATATCTCATTATAGATAACTAAATTAGGTGGACATATTCTGTGCACTCAGACAGCGCTAGGCCCTCAAGGGAGCCAGTGGAGAGATGAGAGCACATTACAGCTGTGGCTGGAGACGCATCCATTAGAGATAAGGACAGAATGACCAGGCCTACATACCTTCCCAGGAGATAAGATAATTGGTACCACCTGGTCCAATAAAGTCCAGCTAGGCATCAGTGACCCCCATGGGTGACCAGGACCCCCCGATCCGTCCCTTCCTAAAGGAGGTCTTTGCTCTTTCCATGCACTGCATACTGCATGAGCTACTT